TAGCAGTCATTACTTATACTACAGAGAACCTGTCTTCTTCCATCAACACTGGAGAGCGTTACAAAGCCCTTGGAATATGTGTTCCAAAGAAACTGGTCAGAAAACAATGATTTGGAAATGAAGCATCAAAACATTTCTGCTTTCTGAAGTCTAAGCAGAAAGTTTGAATTTGAAACCAGTGAAACACACTCATTTCAGGCGATTTCAGAGGGACACTTCCAAAGACCACAAGAACAGGAATTATGAAGCATCTCAGGATTTTGTGACATGTCTAGATTGCGGAAATCCAAAGAACACACTGAATTCAAATACTCACTTTCATGGTTTGCCATGGTAAAATCACCTTCATACAGCCCATCACTAAAGGCCATATTCCAGACAGAAAGCAGATCGTTAAGGGCAGGTATGTTAGCACCTCCAGTATCGGGCATCCACCATTGTCTATAAAAATGAAAGCATAACAGAGTTTATTCATATATAGAAAGCTCCACGAGTCTGAATTGCAAAAGATCAGGTTATCTCCCTGCAGGCAGACTTTTTCAAAGCCACTTAAGCAATGAGACGTTTCACGTGCCAGAAAGAAATCCCGACTTAGAAATTCTTTGTTTGGCAAGGGGGAAACAACAATGATCCTCTTAATTGCTTCTCATTTCTCTAACAGTAGCAAATACCGCTCACTCACAAAATGTGAAACAGACCTTTCTATCTTAACAGCAACACAAAACAGACCGATAATTAAAATTATAAGGTCCTATCTCAGACCCTTCTCACCAACAGTGGTACTGATGTATTCTCCCTTTGCACAATATACTGGGATAATTTAATACTAGATGCACAGGCTGCCAATACCGCTGCAACCCACATTTTCTTTCCAGTCTCCTCCTCAAAGACGAAAAAGCACCAACTTTCTTCTCTAATCAGTCTCTGATTTCTTAGCTTCTTTTTACATGTTCTTCTAGACTTTAAGAGAAGTTTACATTGACAGAAGTGAGCCTTCCCATAATCACAATAAAATGGGTATTCTATGTTCGTCCTGAGGTATCCCCTTTCTTAGGGTAGCATGACAAGTGTTGTAAGTACACATGTGAATACACGTGGATTTTTAAGTATACAAAATGGCAATTTTATGACATTTTATTTCCCACAGAGCTTATAAAATTACCTTGTGTTTTCATCATAAAACTTGACTTTCCTCATCACTGATGTGTTGTACCAGTCACTAAACACTATAAGTGAAAGGCCGTTATCAACATCCCTTCTCAGCTTGGTGATCTCTTCAGGAAAATACTCCTCCTCGCTGTCCACCATCAATAAAGTCCCTGTGTTTAAAAGAAAAACCAGAGTTTTCCAAGCTGCAAATGCGATGCTATCACAACTCAC